CCCTTTTACCATTAGGACTGTTCTTATCTTTAACTCAATAGTATAAAAATGTGTTTGTATCATGGAAGAATGTGTAATACCAGCAGTTACTTTAATCTTAAAATATTTTGTACTAGATCTGTTTTTACAAAAGCAACTATATAATTTTTGCTTGTGTCAAGCAACTGTAATTTCTGTTTGTGTGAGTGAAGAATGAAAAGAGATTAGCCTGAACACCAGCACAGCATAATTAGAGGAGAGGCCGCAGACATGGAGGTACCAAGGAATACCGAATGTGCTCATTCTATTCAGTGATGGGGAAGGGTCAGATTCACAATCCTGAAGTTAGAAGCAAGCATCCCAGTGTGTGAAGTAAGGATGTTAAGAGGCAGGTAACTGGCTAATCGTGTAGTCAATACAATTTGTATCAACTACACAATTAGTCGATAAGTGGAGGCTCTCTGTCCCAGCTCACACCGGGTCCAAGAGGAACCCTGCTATGGCTCGGCAGTTTACATGTAGTAGGAGCCAGGAACACAGGCAGCCCAGCTCCTACTTATATTTAAACTGCAGAGCCAGCACAAGCCAGGACTGAGTAGTCCCAGCTTGCACTGGTTCTGCAGTTTAAGTATAGTAAGAGCTGCTGGGTTCTTATTACATTTAAAATGGAGAGCAGCAGCAGGGGTAGCTCTGAGGGATAGTGAGAGCTAGGACTGAGCAGTCCCGACTCATACCAGCTCTGGGACTGCTGTGGCTCTGCTTCCGCTGCCCCCACTGCCGCGTACCATGGAGACAGTGCTGGAAGGAACCAGCTTTTAAACTGGCTCCCCCCAGAACCAGCCCCTGCTCCCCTCCTATTTCTGCCTCTGATACAAAGGCAACAAGGGGCAGGGAGGAAAGTGAGTAGTCAAGTAGTCATTTAACTACCAACTAAACCTAGCTTATTGGGTAGTCAACTACTCAACTAGTCAATTACATCCCTAGTGTGAAGATAATAAATACCATCAAAACCAGGATGGGGCAACACCCAGAAAAATCGTCAGAAGACTGATGCTAAACAACAGGGAAACCAATCTTAAGATAAACTAGGGGGTGGTGCCCCCTGCTCGCAACACTCACCAACCCCCCTCTCACGGGAGGTAAGCAACCCTGGCTCTCTTCCCTGGACTGGGGAGGGCCAGGCTGCAGCCATGCCAGCCTGGACCACTTCTCACCTTCGGCCACCCAGGGCCATTCTTTTCCCCTCACCTACTGCTCCACTGTGGCCTTCTAAAGCACTGGGTGGGGGGCCCTCACAGCAGCCAAGCACCTGGGAAAGGGGAGGGAGGATGCAGGTGGGACACAAAGTAATGTAATGAAGTCACTCTGTTGTCCCATATAGAGAGAGAGATGTGCAACATGACTGATTATAACACGATACAGCAAAATCCATAGATTATAGGGATGCCTATAGAAGATGGTATAGGACTCTGCTGGTCATACATTTATCCTTACGTCCTTTTGCTTCCTTTATTCATTTTTCACAATTTCTAACATGGTACTTTGCATGGTACTTTGGGATCGTCCTGCCAAGCAATAGCCTCAGAGCATTGGAATTGTGACTGACAAAATCGAGCTCCCTCCCTCAGGCCTAACTAGCCATTAATTGTTCCAAGCCACTCACTGATAAACTATAGCAATGTTGTTGGGACATTATGTGTGTATATTTGCATGCATATGCTGATTCTGAATTATGTTGTCAATAAATGTGTATTGCCTTTGAAAATGGCCCTATGTGCTTCTTATAAGCATAACATCTTCTACTGCTCAAGATTCACACCTTTATGAATCCCAGAATTGCTCTCACCATTTTGGCCCCAATGTCACATTGAGAGTTCATGTTCAACCAACTATTAACCATGATCCCCAAATCCTTTTGAGGATCACTGCCTTCCCAGGATAATGTCTGCTATCTTTGTAAGCAAGACCTACAGTCTTTGTTCCTATGTGTATACATTTATATTTAGGTGTATGAAAACACAGTGTTTGCCTATGCTGAGTTAAAAAAGTGATCCACATAGCTCTGGAACAATGACCTATTCTCTTCACCATTTAGCACTTTCCAATTTCTGTGTCATCTGAAAACTTTATCAAGGACGAGTTTATATTTTCTTGCAGGTCATCAACAAAAATGGTTAATAGCATAGGGGCAGCAACCAATCCGTGTGGAACATCTCTGAAACACATCAGTTTACACTGTTGATTTCCTATTTATAACTATAACCAGTTTTAATCAATTTAATATGCGCATACTCATTTTAACTTTCTAGTTTAATCAAAATATTAAAACAATTAAATTCATGTTATGTCTTTCTACTTAATCAAAATATCCTGTGGTACCATGTCAAATGACTTACAGAAGTCTAAATATATTACATCAACATTATTACCTTCAACCAAAGAATACCATCCAAAGAAAAAGATATCAAGACAGTTTGACGGACTCTATTTTCCATAAACCCCAGCTGATTTGCATTAATTACATTAAAGCTTGTTTATTCTTCATTAATCAAGTCCTGTATCAGTTGCTCCATTAACTAACCAAGGATCAAAGTCAGGCTGACAGGCCTAAAATTACTCACGTCATCCCTTTTAAAAATTGGCACATTTGCTAACTTCCAATCTTCAGTGCTTAATGAAAATCAACACTAACTGAGCCGAAAGCTTTTTGGCCTTCTCTCTTAAAACAGTTGGCTGCAAGTTATCTGGACCTGTTGATTTAAAAATTTCTAACTTTAGTACCTGCAACTGATCATCCTCCAGAGATACAAGTGACATGGCTAGAGAGTTATCACCAGATGAGACTATATTATCTCCTTTTCCCCAAATACAGAAAAGATATATTAATTGAACCTAAATATTAATTCTGATCATTCTACATTATTATGGATAATTGTACTATTTCTATTTAGTAATGGACTAACACTATTGTCAGGATTCTTTTTGCTCTTTTTTTTAAAACTCCTTATTGTCGCTGACTCTGCTGATCATACATTTATCCTTATGTCTTTTTGCTTCCCTTATTAATTTTTCACAATTCTTAACATCTGCTTATCCACCAACTTTCCAATCTGTCATGTATTATTTTATAAATGCCTTCCCCTCTAAAGTAGATCAGTTTTTTAATCAAGAAAGCCTTCTTCCTCAATTTTTTGGGGTTGTATCTCTATGGCCCTCCTCATAACTGTTCTTAAAGTATTTCCAATTATCACACAGATTTTTGGGATTTGATTTTTCCTCTCACATGATTTGGCTTATAACTGATTTCAATCTTGTAAAATTGGCTCCATTAAAGCATAAAGAGGGGGAGAGAGAAAGAGAGAGAGTGCATGTGTTTGTGTATGTTGTGTGCATGTGTGTGAGCAAACTGATTTAGACTGTATTCTGTTTGCACATTATAAATGTATTCAAGTCATGATCACATGATCCTAAACAAATACAGGTTGCACATCCCCAAAACAGATTTCTCTGGTCTGGCAATATCTGGACCATAGATGACCCTGCATCAAAGAACCCAGTAGCCTAGTAGGAGGAGGGCAATCCAGTAGGGGTTGGGGCATCAGAATGAAGCAGCAGGATGGGGTAGGGACTGGCAACAGCCCCTCACAGCCTGCGGCACTAAGATTGGGTCAGGGAAGCCCCCAGCAGTGCAGGATTGTGCTTGTGACAACCTGTGGCAGAGCAGGGTCAAGGCAGCCGGTGGAAGCAGGACCAAAGTTTGGGCTGGGGGTAGTCCCCAACAGCATGGGGCTGGAACCCTGGACAGCACTCGGTCATGGAGCCAGACCCTGTGGGCTACCAAGGAGCAGGAGCACATGCTTTCAGCAGCTTGTGGAAGAGCACTGGGGCTGGGGCTGGGGCTGGAGAAAGCCCCAGCAGCCCACAGAGTCCAGAACAACCTGCAGAAGACAGAGCCCAAAGGCTGCCATGGGGCTGGGACAAGAGCCCAATCCTCTGGCAGGCTGACCAGGGCCAGGGCCAGGGCCAGCTCCCAGCAGCCCATGGTAGCATGGGGGCTGGAGCCTATGGCACCATGGGCTGATGGAGCCCGACAGGCAGTCCAGCTGGGGCATCAGCAGTGGGGTCAGTGACCCAGCAGGCAGCCTGGCAGGGGCTGGAGGGAGTCCCTCTGCCCTCCTCTCCCAGCTGGCAGAGTTGGTGACTGGGGGCTGGGGCAGGGAACCATCTCTAGTTTGGCAAATTCCTGGGTTCGGGACAGTTCAGGTCCTGAGGGTGCCAGATAAGAGATGTCCAACCAGTATTAATTTTTATTTCTGTGGTAAATTTCTCTTTACCTGTTGAAACAAAGTCTAAAGTAGATTTTTTGTTAATTGCAACACTTTCTGAGTTACAGTTACAATATTAACAAATCAGCAATTTGGGGTAAAATTGTTTAATCAGCACATTACCAACTAGGTTTAATTATTTTAGAGTTCAGCAGCAGCATCCAGAGTGACTTTGAAAGCTTTCTTACCCATACTTTTAAAAGAAGCATTTGAAATGTAAGGGACACAAATGACTTGATCATACACATTTGTAGTAAGAATGCGCTCTAATGTCAAAATACCTGTCTTCTCACTAGTAGCTGATTAAGACAGAAATGAAACAGCTGGCAGTTCCACTTGACTAAATATATAACACTGACATTCCATTATATTCTGCATGTGTCTCATATTAACCATACTTGGAAGTATGTTGTCTCTCTGGCAATTATTCTTCAATAAAGGGCAGAAGAAGTGAAAAACAATATCTAGTTCAGTCAAGCTTAACTGAAAATGAATAGAGGATGCCTCAGAACAGGATGAGTCAGAAGTTGTATATGTATATGCAAGAAGACAAAACAGTAACTCTTACTCACCAGCCAAACCCAGTGTTACTTAGGTGGCCCCATATACTTCTACTGTTGCAGATTTTTGTCCATATCGTTCCTGGAATATTACCCATCATCTCATTAAAGAGTTAGCCCTGAAACAATTTCTTACCGTATTGTTGGGATGGTAGTTGAGATGCAAACCACTGTCACAGAGGGGAGATGATGTGCCACTGCTTTGATCACTAGGGACACCTAATAAAAACATTCATGCATATAATACTGTCCCAGATTCAATAAAGTTAGAATTCTTATTCAAGCAGTTACATTTTTGTCCTAATCACAGTCATGGGGAGAACTGAGGTATTCATAGATTCAATTGTTGGTTTATCTTTTTATTCATGAAATATCCATAGGCAGACTGATATTTATATGTTTGTTATTCGGTGAATGACTGACCTGTTCTATAGCAACCTATGGATTTTTCATGGACTATTACTGTGATTATTAGCTATTCATAATTCTCAGTGGGTATGTCTACACTACAGAGAAGATCAAAGCTGCTCCTGTCAATCTTCCAGGGTTCGAATTAGCGGGTCTAGTGAAGACACACTGATTTGAACTGACAGGAACACTCCAGTTGATTCCGGTAGTCCTGCTTCCACAAGGAGTATGGGAAGTCGATGGGAGAATGTTCTCCCTTCGATTTTCTGCAATGTGGACAGCGCCAAAAATCGAGTTAAGGTACTTCAACTTCAGCTACGTAATTAATGTAGCTGAAGTTGTGTATCTTAATTCGACCTTGTCCTATAGCGTAGACATACTCACTCTGATTACAAAAGAGAGAGATTCTCACTTGATAGCTGAATGGTCAAGCAGTGGATTGGGATTTGAGGATTCAAGTCCTTATTCTGCTGATGTGGTACATTCCAGAGAGTGTCCTATAATGATCAGGCAAGAAACTACTTCCTGAACTTGAGAAACTCTTGTGCAAAACAATCACTGAAATGGAAATGTTTCAAGGAACATTTTGGTTTTGGCAAGACAATGTTTTTCAATAGAAAAAAGTTTCAAAAATATTCTAACCAGTTCTACTGGTGAAGAAAAACATTGCCTGTGTACAGCTTGAGAGAAATAATGAATTAATAATAAATTCATGAAAATAAACTGAAATATTTTAGAATAAGTTTAATATACCAACATATTATATATATGTGTGAATGTGTGTGTTTGTCTTTATAAAGCATATGCTAACTACTTCTCTACTGTATTCTCAATAAACACAGTGTATTGCCTTCGCCCCTGAAAAAGATCCTGTGTGCTTCTTATAAGCATAACACATATATATGTGCACATACATGGACACATAATAGGATTCAGACCAGGTATTTTAGTTCTCATAATTAAAAGCTAAACATTATATTTTTACTTTCTTTCAAGTTCCTTTTTCTGAAAGTAGAGGTGAGTAAATACATAATCACATATATACAGCCACAGATATACTGTAACTATCTACAATGGTGTACCAACACTTATAATTCATTATAATGTATTAGAAGAGAACAGCTGCTTCCATGTATATATCTTTCAAGTTCTGATTGGGGCTAATCAATTAAAATTCTGTTGCACTAAAATAAAATACTATTTAGCTCATAATATATTAATCTACAGTTAAAAGCATATCTCAACTAAAGCCCTTAAATGATATTTAAATTGAGAAGATGAGACCTTAAAATATAAATGTGAGATCTTAGTTTCACATTTAGAATACATAAAGCTTTCCCATTTCAATGCCATTCTATGTTTGAAAATATATTATAATATTCTGTGCCCAAATCTCAGCTCATATAAACTGGTGTAGCACTATTGAATTCAGTAATGCTTATCTGATTCACACCAGCTGAAGGCTTGGCCTCCCATTTTTCAGGCAAAGATAGCACTAGCTAACAATGAATGTCAGCACAGCACCTGGTGATATTAAAAGGTCAAATTCAGGCCACAGAACTGACTGATACAGCTCCTTCCAATCATTGCCAGTGCACAGGAAATTTGGAAATGAACAGTAGAGTTTCACATGAACAATGAATGGATTTTTCTTTTAGCTAATCACATATGCTTACATGCACAATCTTCATTCAGTGGCAATTTGAGAAAAGCAGGTGCTCTTTTCAGAAAGGACACTGTTAGGGTCACTTCTTCTCCTGCATTGCGAAGAACCTGAACCTGAAGATTCAATACAAAAGGCATAAATATGTGTTTTAGAAAAGACAGTAACAGTTGTAAAAACACCCAAGAATGTGTAAAAACGAAACACATTTGTTCTGTGACTTGTTACGTGACATATAAAAAAGAACAAAAACCACAAAGCCTGCTGCAACCTTTTCTCCAGTGTTTTTAAACAATTTTGTTTTTATGAAGCACTACTTTGTAAATCTTTCACATCAATTCACAGAGATTTCATATTTGTAGTTTCCATGAGTTCCTCATAAATCTACAGGAACTGTGTGTAAATCCCATCCTGTAGTACTAGGTATAAAGAAACAATGATGACAGGATCATAACATATTAGATGCAATCTCTAAAACTGACTTTACAGCTGTGTTGTACAGTCAGTGTTGACATTTTGTAAATGCAAAAAGATTACACACACACACACACACACACACACACACACACACACACACACACACATACACACACACAAAAAGGAGAGCAAATTTGTCTCTCCATTACCCTGCACATCAATTCATGAACTATGCATGAACCAACGGAATATTTCTCAGTTCTGAACTGTTTTCCATCTTGGGACTATGCAAATTTCCTTACTAATGGGATGAAAATGGCAGTCTGTAGCCAAAGGAGAGAGACCTTAGGTCAGGCATGTCCAAAGTCCGGCCCGCGGGCCAATTGCGGCCCGTGTTTCGGTTTAATACGGCCCCACAGGTAATTTGGCAATATCTATCTTTTATGGCCCCCAGCGAATCCATAAGAATTGAGATGAATACATTGTAAAATCTCAGTTAATGTCAGTTGGTCTAAATCAGTTATAAATATATTTGGATACAAATGTATACTTGGTGTTATGTTCCTGTTCATATTTTTTGAACTTAAAAGTTGACAGACAACCTTTATTACCAATAATATATAATGTACTTTACAATGTTCCTGACATGTATTTCAGCTTCCTGGATTTTTTTTTTCATCTGGCTTTCAGATATGAAAGGCAGAGTGATTTAACACCTGTTTAGATTTGTCATCCATGTGACGGAATGAAAAGTATGCCATTTGCAATAAACTTTGCATAAAATAGTTAATTTGCGTTTAATTTTAATGGTTCAAAGAATGTCAGGCAAAATGGTCAGCCCTCACGCATGTTCACTTCATAAAATCTGGCCCTCTCTGAAAAAAGTTTGGACACCCCTGACTTAGGTGAATATACCCAGGCCAGTCTAGTTCTGAATGTGCCTTGGGCCTCCCACTATTGACACCGTCCTCCTCCCTTCTCTGAACAGAAGATTTCACTGCTACAGACAGAAGGAGGGCAGGCAGCTCAGAGAAGTCATAACCAGAAGCGTAAACTTCCAGGCA